GATTGGCTGATTACTATACTGCTACTATGTTTAGTAGCATTCCAGAATTTTCAGGGAAACCTAAGGACTTCTAAAATACTATAAAAACCCCTATATTTTCTATACATAAATGAACCTTTGGAATAAAGTGCTTATTCTGTATTCTTATTTTCTCCTTTCATTATATAATCATTACAGGGTCCAGTTGTAACAGATAATGGAAACTTTTTATTAGACTGGAAATTCGATACAAATAAACAATATTATTGGCCAGATGTAAATGTTCAACTATCACAAATACCTGGTAAAACTTGTTTTATAATTTCATTTTTACCTAGTTTGTCATTTTAGTAAAGTTAGTTGCCCATTCCATCATCGTATATTTTCATTATGTAAGTTGGTTCTAGTCGATTAACTTTAAACCACATTTTATTTGTAAGGAGTTGTGTTGCTACCCAGCTGTAGAAACTATAGTATCAAGTGAAGCAGGACTCGAAACGTATAATAGGATTTAGAAAGGATTTGCATTATCCCGTTGTTGGTAATCTTGACTGAATTCTGATCAGTTTTAGTATATGTTTATGCCATGTGGAATGCCTCTATATAGCCATTTTTCACAAGTTTCTGCAGAATAGATGAATTTGTGGCTAGCAGTGAAATTCAGAACGCGCACAAGACGCATAGATACTAACAAAGACTGATCAGAATTGAGTCAATATTATCAACGAGATAATTCAAATGTTTCTAAACAAAGAATGAAATAAAATATCTGTAGCACAAGTGGGACTCAGGTAGCCCAATGGATAGTGCGTTGAACATTTGAAGCAAAATGTACTAGGTTCCAGTCCCAATGTGAACTTTATTAACGAGATGCAGGTAAATCCAGTTGTAGAGTCTGAACTAGAACGAAACGCGCGTTCTAGGTTCTACAGTTGACCAAAATTCTGTCTATTCCAAATAATAAACTGGTTAGTTATGATGAAATTTTACTCTTTGGTTATAGTTTAGTATCAACCATAGCTGGCGCCTTTTCATATTAAACAAGAGTAAAGGGTTTTCATTGGTAAATTTGACAATGACTGATCTATCATTATCTTTTCTGATTACACTACTGTTTAATATTTCTGTCTTGAATCATACACTTAACTCAGCGATCCAACTAAATTGAATAATCTGCTTCATCTAGAGACAGGATTAACAACATCCACAAACCTGTTCTTTTTTAGATGACAACTTCACACATGTTCTTGAATATTGACAGACCAAATAGTCGCCTTACGTTTAAGATAAATTTTTGTCAGTGAATATTTTAATCTTAGCCTACATATACACACACTATGACCAAAATGCCCTGGTACGGCCGAGAGTGAGGAGAGTACGCTTTCTCTCTCCAAATGCTCTCACATGGCCACGCGTATATAGCCTCTGCAAGGGAAGTCCTACTCATTGACTTCTCGTGGCATTACTGTTGTTTACGAAATTGAGAGGACGAAAAGTGAATGTCCGGCGCTTTAACCAGGTTGGTGAACAAGGCGAGTCCACCTAGGGGAGTTGGAAAACCCTCATTCCAAATCAATGGTGCACATGGGCTCCATGATCGTGAAGGAACAAATGGCGTATGAACCAATCGTTGGTCACCGACTACCATGGGACTGCATCTCCTCACGATGCTCCACTGCCTTGTGGATCAGATCTTTAGGTCAAGGGCTCTGAGTGTGGCCCCCTAAAAAACCACCTGTTTCCGTTTGGGCACCTAGGCAGTATTACAGCCCTCACACAAATCAAATGAGTTTTGTGGCGCATATGTATCTGGTACCCCTTTGTAGCAATATTGATGTGTTCAAATCAATAATAAAAAATTATTATTCAATAGAGTTTTATAAGTTAAAAAGAATCAAGTTTATTAATTCCTTATTCAAATATCATTAATATTTAACAAAATTCCAATATATTTTTTTAATTATTATGAAGGTATCGTTGATACTGGCCTGTTTATCAATATGACAAGTAGAATTTATATTGGTAATTTGAATGGTACAGTAACTAAATTGGAAGGAAAATCATCTAACCAACATAAATTGAACAATATGAATAATCTTTAATCGATTACATTACCTATTTGCTCATTGATATACTTATCCTATTTTGTTCTACTTTCACTCAGGGTTTATATTATTATTTTCTTATTGTATTATTTTGTTGCCTTTTCATAAATGCAAAGAGAAGTACTTTTGTTGTACAAACATTATCATTCCATTTATAATATCTAGTTTTTATGTTACATAGTTGATGGTAGTGTCGATAAGAAACCCTGGTTGACCTAGGTCTCACGTTCGTTGATACTTGACGGACAACAAGGTGTACCTGCAATCTTAAGGAAACTGACGTTCTCTGTGAGTTTCAGATCCACATTATTCAGTTTCATTGTTTGAGATGTTATCACTGATCTATTCAAGTCAAGATTCATATAGATTTGCTTATATTATCACCACGTTCACATGAGAGGAACAAATAAAACAACATGGAAGTGTTTGAAGCAAAGTGCTAAATATACAATTATTCAAGATAATACGTTCAGTACTTCTAAAATGTTAAGGATTATTGATAGCATTGAAATTTATGTTAACGAGATTTTTAATTCATGAATACTGTCATTCGGAGTCTAGGAACCCTAGGGTTTTGTTCACTTTTCAATTAGCGATTCAAACTGAATTAATTAGTCCTGTTGGATTGGTATCTGATGAAATACCTATACAGATTTAGAAAACATGCTTGGCTTTAGTAAAATCGCGTCGTTTTCGGCACAGGCAAGATGTTCACTTACTAATCAAAGAACGAGTATATTGTGCAGTCGTCCATTCTATTTTACTTTATTAGATGTGAAACGTGGCCTTTAAAAATAAGGGACATTTTTAGGTTAATGGTATTTGATCATAGATAACTTCGAAGCACTGCACGTGTATATTGAGACGGGAGATTAAGAAATTCTGAAGTTAGATTTAGGGCATTATGCATTAGTAAATTATCACTGATAAAGGAGGTTATGATGTGTATTTATCATTGAACCAATGTCTACATCGACGCGCAATGTTTACTGATGTAGTAGGTTGAAAGCTAAAAGGACTGTTTCATTCTAGTTCTAAGGGAAACACAAACCCACATGGTGATGATTTCTCTCAGAAATGAAGTCAGTTCATAATAATGATTATTCTCCAATTAGCCTGTTTGAATTCTTATAAAGTCGGTCTTCAATAAGAGATTCCATTAATTTCTGTTACCATTCACAATTCTTTTCGGGATACAACAATTCTTGTCAGGAAAACTTGTATATTTTGTATTTGAAGAAATTGTTTTTTTGCAAAAAGATTGTTAGAAAATTTATTGAAATTAATAGCCAATACTAATTTCAACTACAAGTCAACCTTAAAAAACTGACATTACATTGTATTGTATTGAGAAAAGAAGATCAAACATTGGTTCTCATTTATTTCAGCTTAAAATACTATCAAATAACTAAGTTACTTATTAGTAATAGGACTATTTGAAATAGGTATGGCTGTTAGTTTGGTTCACTCTAGGAGGTGGTTACATTTAAAAAGAAAGATAGTATCAAGAAGGACCATGTAATCAATTAGGTTTAACTGTATTACTGCCAACTGGTTGATTGGAGTTCGATTTTATATAAAATTCTAACTAATTTGTATGGTTAAGATTGGAACGACCAAACCCTATGAAAGGATTCGTGTTTGGCCGGAAGTACTTTGTGTATTAGGGAGTATGCAGACTAGCGTGAATGAGAGGGATTTAGAAAGAGGACGAAAGGAAATGTGGGCACGACGATCCAGTAGGTACACAAACACACTTACATTTATTAACAAAAGACAATCTGGAAATAGAAACTAGATTCAGATAATGTGAAGTTTCCGATGCACTACACTCTGGTACAAACAAATTATTAGTACATGCTTGAAAATGTCTATGATTCATATAAACATCCAAGAAGCTTCCTGAAGTCTGTCTAATAATCAGTGGACATTCATAGAAAATGGTTAGATAGTGAATAGCATGGTATTGCGCTTGCTTCAAGTTATGATACTCAATTTCATTGTTATTTGATTTTTTTGAAATCTCATCCAGCTGTACAGTATAGAAAGTAATGTTATCTGCCTTTATTATCACAATGCTTTATGAATGTTTGTTTCCGTAGTAATACATATGTTTTCATCTAAATTCTCACTGTCATCCTATCACCATTGAGAATAAATCTTATTTACAATGAACCTATAACTAAATAACGTCGAAGAAGAATCAGTTATGCTTTTTTTAACTTCTTGTCTTATACTATCTATTGTAGTTTTTTTTCTAACCATAAAGAACAAAATAGTGAAGGAGTTTAATAACATGCTGACTTTCCAAAAACATTTATTGGTAGACTAACTGATAGCCCGAAATACTGTGAAACTGTTCGCTGTAATTTAGACAAGTAATAGTCTACATCAAATAGTAAATTAGGTGAAGTAAAATGTATATTGTAATCAAAGATGGATAGTAGCTAGCAGTGGAATCCAGGACGCACGTTTCGTCCTATTTGGGATTTGTCAGGACTCAGTAGCTAAGTGTATAACGCGATGGTGTTTGAAGCGAAAGGTCCCACAGTGAACATCAACTCTGAGATGCAGGTACATCCAGCTGATGAGTACCAAATAGGACGAAACGCGCGTCAAACTGGATTCTACTGCTAGCCACTATCCAATTTTGCTTATAATACTTGTGACTTCAGGCAATATCGTGGCAGTATGTACATATGCCAACAAGAGACTGATCAATTGCAGTCCTAAATAACAATGGGAAAATACAACTAAAACAACATCAAGTGGAATATATTGTAAGCAGTTTTATTTAACCAATGGTACATATCTACTTCTGTTTATAGATGTACACACACACACAATGAGAATACAATTTTAGAAAGTGTATATATTACACAAATAGTGTTGTTGTGGTTGTTTTCTTTGTTCTATTTAATTGATTAATCTTGGTGTATAATATAAATGACGTTGTGCTGAACATTGATAAACTAATTTATTTAATATTGACATAATTTTTAATAAACATATTTCATTACGTTCATTTAATGTTAATTCAATCATCAGTTGATTATTCATTTGATTATTATCTGAATAGGAATCTATAGATAAAATAAAATAGGAAAAAAAGGAGAAAATATTACTGAATTGTGAGTGTGATGTAGTCTACTTATACCCACTTAAGTAGTATATGGTGATGGTCAGACATTAAATGTATTTTGGCAGAAGACCAATGAAGAAAGAACTGAAATGAAGTGCAATTGATAGGAAAATGCATGAACAATGAAATTACAGAAGATGGATTGATATTTACAGAAGGAACAGTGAAGATTGAGACAACTGATTGCTATTTTACAAATTAACTGTTTGCTGTATGGTTATGAGAATTTAGTGAGATAGTCTGTAATTTGTGCTAAAATACATTCAAATGTTCTCAACTAGTGTTCTTGTTCACTACAAAAGGGATAAGTAATCTTAAGGTTTGATATAGAATATTTATATCAAAATGGGAAATCAATTGGGATATATGTTATTGATGCTTATCCACCGTCTTTTCCTAATGGACAATGTATGCTGGTGTAAAAGTAGGTAGTGGGGGAAGGGGACCTAAACTACGACTTGGTATCATGTGATGTTTATGTGAAATGGTCTATCAATACATTATTTCGTTCCTGATTCGAACTCCACATATATTACTTACGAATGCCTTCATTGATTTCTTTTTGAATTGGATACTGGTTCACTCGTGATTACTAAAATAAGAATTAGATGGGTCTTAGGAATTACTAGTTAGCATATAAATCCAATTGCTATATTACTTATCATCTATCAGTTTATGAAGTCGTTGACTGTTGGTCTAAACTATGTTAATAGATGAAGACTACCATCTGGTTAGTGTGCGTGTGATAATCACTACCAGTGGTTGGAGGCGTTCGATAATATAGCTTGGAACTAATTACAATGGTGCAAGTGTATTCACTTTTTGTCTCGAAATACTTTAACTTTTTACGAATTCAATATTTTTTCTCGGATTATATTGTTTATGCTTAAAGTTTTGTACTACCACTGATACAATTACTACTTCTCCTACTCTGAAATTTATGTTCACGATTTATTTCGTTGTACTGATATAATATAAGAAACTTGGACTGATTCTAGGTTCTATTGTGCTGATGTGATAGGATTACTTTTTCAACCAACTCACAAGAAATGTACAGCTCAAAACTGAGTATACGAACTTTAAAAAAAATTACATTAAACATATTATCAAATTGAAATATAATATGATAGGAAATCGATAGTTGCCAAGTAACAATTGAGGAACACCTACAAAGGGAAGATCAATTATTTACTTGTACTTTAGATTGGGATGGTTTAAGAAAAGTTAAACATAAAAAGAATAAATTTTGATTATTAAATGAAGCAATTATGAATCTAAATGTTTCGTATGATATATATTTATATTTGATCACAACTGATGAAGTATATATTCCAAGGGAACTTTAGCCAACTCTTTCCATTTGTACGAATTAATATTTATTTCTCAGTTGTTGTTATTAATATTAAGGACTCCAAATTATTAGTTTGTACTAGCATTTGTAAATTTCTAGTAGATTGCCTCCATCCTACCATTTAGTCACAAGTGTCTATCAACATATTGTTCGAATCCCAATGTGAAACATTGACAGTGGGTAGTATGTACATCCAGATAACGAGTCCCAAATAGGACAAAACCTATGTCCTAGATTGCAACGCCGGCCACCATTTAGCGTTAACTGAGTACCTCTCCATTCCCAAATGTATGCTTTTAATATATACATATCCTCATCAATCCGTGTCTGTTACAACCGATCATAATAATTTTATGTGCAAGCTTCTCCGCTCCTATTGTAGATTTGAACAATATTCTGAGACTGGTAGGTCCTGGGTTCGAACCTCGCGAGGTGAGGTCGTAGATGCGCACTGCTCAGGAGTCCCACAATAGGACGAAACTGCCGTCCAGTGCTTCCAGGTTTTCCCTGGTGGTCTCAGTCAGTCAGCTACAACGTAGGACCAGGAACATGTATGCATCGGTTCAAGTTGCCATACCTCATTAGCACAACAAGATGAACACCGGATTCCCTGGTGGTATAGTTTCAATTGACTCATGCTTTCAACTATGAAAATACTAAATCTCCACAAAAAACCCTTCTGATAATATCCTGTACAACAGTAGAAATATTCTATTGATATTGTTGATGAAAAAGGAAGTATGTTACAATACATGAAATGTGGGTCAAGGTCACATATTGATACATACACACTATGATTCAAAGTACTAATTACACATTTAAAAAAAACTTGAAACTTGTACAAAACCAACAGACAACAACAAAATAGTTTTATTTTATATTATGATCCAACGACATTCTTTTAAAAGTAAATTAGCACAATGATGACCGAAATATGTCAACTTATTATTGCTTCTTTTCTTCCATTCCACTCGTGTTTATTTGGTTAATTTCAATGGTTGTTGTCTTTTTTCAATAAATTAAATCTTGAACACCATATAATGGATGTTTTTTTTTGTTGTATTAGAGTTACTGATCAACAAGCACATAAACATAATCAAATTAGAGCCTAGCACAAAGCTTGGATAAATTCCCAAACTATGGACAGAACGACAAAAGAATCGAAATGATGTAGTACCAATGATCATGAGGAAGACTGTGACATTAAGGATACGGTCCGAAACAACAGAATGTAAAAATATATATATATATATATATGAAAAAACAGTGGAACTTAAGATCTAGGTTAAAACAAAGGGTGGATGCATCTGCGCTATTATGATAGATTTTAAGCCATGCCAACCAACATCTTCAACCATTCACAGTGTTTGTCGCGAGTCAGCTAGTTTAAATAAAATAATACGGCTCAGCCCAACAGTCAACGGACTGGTGCTTTGTTTTGACCACCGCTAACTTATTTGAAAATTATTTCTACACCTGCTAATATTGTTCGTCAGAGTAGGTGAAAGTTAGGGAAACGTGAGCAAATTATATCTGTAATCTTGATGAGTATTTATTCAATCTGCCATACGGACTAAACAACACTACATCGGTTAGTGATATATATATATATATATATATATATATATACTACTGATGACATTTAATTCAATTTGAACCATATTATAATCGATATCACGAGTTATAGGCAGTAACAAACAAATTAACCAAATGATTATAACATTAAAAAACTAACTGTACTACGCAAATACCCAAGTACATGAGTTTAAATACAATCATAGCCGACATATGAAACAAGTGAACTATACTCATTTTTTGAAAAGTATGAAGAGTACAAGGGAGAAACAATCGATAAGGTTTGTTATATCCTAGTGAAGAAATAAGCACAGGTAACTCCCAGGACTATTATTCTATATATATTCTTATTGTTTAACTATTAAGTAACTAGATTGTGTATATCTATATTCATCTTATTATAAGCTTCATTTTGACCTATGAATTATTACTGTACGATTTATTGTTCCTATATTATATTCAGTATACTGATTACTGTATCCCACGTTCACAGCCACATTTGGCTTGATCTTGTACAAATATTATTTTCTATTTTATGGTGTGCTGCGGTCTGTCTGTCTGGTATATAAACCGAGTATGCTTGAAATAAATGATTCGCATAACAGAAGCTGTCATTGGTGTTCTGGACTCGATTGGAAAGGCTAGGCGGACAAGGGACCAATAAGGACGCTAGACTGCTCGTACTAGATGAACGTCATTGATTTGGCACAGTGCTAAGATTGGATAAGTCGTATTTCCATTGGAGGATAATTCACGTGATAAAAAGCCGAACATGAAATCATAACAAATTGGCATACGGCTTCTTTTTTAAATTCATAACAAGCTTAAAGTGAACTTATATCACAAGACAAGTCTTAATAATGGCAGTGTATAGCTTCATTAAAGAAATGATCTGTCTATTCGGAAAGACAATTATGACACACGAAAAGTAAAAAAAACTGAAAATATCAACAGAGAAAATCATATGAATTTGATATTAAATTTACCGGATTTTATATTTTACAAATCATAGACCAAGATTAGTTAGTTAAACAAGCCAATGAAAATTAGGAAGAACTAGACACAGCTATTTTATTCTAGTATTAAATTACTATTAGTTTTCCATAGTGCACATCCAAGAACACACTGTAAATCGCACCTAGAAGTTTTAGGTCTTGTGGCAAACGTCCAACCTATGGACTACTTATTACTATTGAGTCGGTCAGCAAATAATAGTTTACCTTTGACCTATGAGATTAAAAAATCTATTATCACATCTTATAATCAAAATATCGAAGCGAAAGTTCATATTAGTTTTAGCTATTGAACTGAATCACAAATTCAAAATATTTAAATAGTCCGCCAATTATTACGTAACCAAGTATGGGAGTGCTTATGGCAAACATGTTGGTTGTAGTAGAGTTATTGTAAGGATGGCTCGTTAGCAAACTCAAGGAAGCCTCAAGAAGCCCAGAAAGAGCCGAAGATATTCCACCCAATCACCACTAGGAGAACATTCTAGAATGTCGACGTGTAGCTCTCCTATTGGTTGGATAAGAAGGACCCCCTATGTGCCTATTGACTGTTCGAAATGATGTTTACTTTCAGCCAAGAAACTATAGATACATGAGGTGTTTGTACTATATTTGACACTGTTAGAAATAACATTCCTACTTACTAGTCTTCTGTCTTCTGATTTTGCGACTTGGGGGGAAGGGTTCTAGCGTTCGAATGCTCAAGTATTACGCGACATACTAAGAATCTAAGTTCGAGATATAACAGTTACAAATATATACAATATGGATAAAGGATATATTAGACTTTGAAAACAATACAATTCAAATTTATAATTCAAAATGATCAAATTATAATTCTTTACAAAGTTAAAATTACAACACTGATAAAATGTATATCCACTTAATTGAATTTAAAACTACACTTACTTGATCTTAAAGTTTCCAATTGACAATGTAATTGTGATCGTGAATCATCTGACAATGTAGAACTAATCATTAAACCAACTGATAATAGAAGACGTGCAATTATAGGTGCTAAATTTGGGAATGCACTACCCAAACGTAATAATGGAGATAAACATTCATATAATAAACTTGATCGTTCTTCTACACTGACAATCACTAATATTTTACGATTGATTGTGGTACAAAGTAAAGAAATAAAATTTAAAAGAAATGGTTACTATTTTATTACACGATATTTATAACGTTTCAATAAAATAAACAATACAATTTTCACAATTGAAAGTGTTATAAACGTATGTATGCCGTCGCCAATTGTTATAAACGTAGAGAGAGAGAGGATGCTGGTTATAACTTTAGGGGTTTCTGGTTATAACAGTCCTTTTACTTCTTACACGTATGTGGGACGTTAATTTATCTTAGACGAATATCTACACTAGATTCCCACCCAGTGTCTATTCTACAGGACTTCAACAGAACTCAGATCAAGAACACAATATTAGCCTGACTATAACGTCAATATATTTCACACCAAAATCCGACACATGGAACAGTCAATAAGTGTCCATCAACAAGGAACAGTCAATCAGTCAATACATAATAAGGATAGGGAAATATATATATAACACATAACACCTGTCATCCCCTCTAATGTCTGACTCATCGAGACAACCAATCATTGACATTCTCGCCCACACATCACCTCCCTCGCGAAGTTCGATCGTATGATTTCACTTTGGGGTCTATTTGAAAAAATTTCGTTTGTTTCCGTTTCCTGAATGACCTTCGTCTAACTTATGATTCTAGATCATTTTTTCTCGTTTCAACTTGTGGTGGTGGTGGTGGTGGAATATCAAATGTATCACATAATACTTCGATTGGTAATGGTTTGAGTTTAGATGACTCATAAACACATTTTCTATCTCGCAGTTGATTTACATGTATAATAATTAGTGTATTTTCGACCATCACTTCATATAATACTGTACCACGTCGTTTTTTTATAAACCCAAATATCCATTTTGGCTTGCCAGGCCGGAAATCCCGTGCATAGACTGAGTCACCTACTTTGAATTCTCGAATTTTCAGGCAATTCCCTTTCTTATTTTTTTGTAGTCCACTGATTCTGTCTTTCGGGTTCAAAACATCAAAAAATGTTCTAATCGGTCGGCCAAACATTATTTCGGCTGGAGATTTCCCATCTTGACAGTTTGGACTTGGCGTAATTCTATAAGAAATGAGAAATTGTTGCAGAGCCTCTTCTACGTTGCCTTCTCCTCCCATCTTTAAGAGAGCTCGTTTAAGAATATCAACAAATTTCTCTGCCTGCCTGTTCGACTTAGGGTGATACGGTGGAGTTCTAACGTGTTCGATTCCATTCTGTTTACAGAACTCCGCAAACTCTAACGACGTGAACTGCGTCCCGTTATCTGAAACCAAAACATTAGGTGTACCAAACCTACCAAATAGTTGTCTAAGATGTAGCAGTGTTTCAGACGTAGATGGTCTTCGTACCACATAAATTTCAGGCCACTTTGAGTATGAATCAACCACCACCAAAAAATATTGTCCACTTATTGGTCCAGCATAATCAACATGTAGTCGGATCCAAGGTTTTTTCGTTTCAGGCCATGACTGGGATTCTGCTTTCGGCACATTCAACGGTAAATCCCACAAACCAAATTTATCAATCCAATCAATACCTAATAGATTGGTATTACAGTTCCCGGATACGTAACATTTCCCGGTCATAGTCTTTTCACCAAACGTGAGAGGTAGCTGTATTACTCCAAGAAGAGTAATATTAGTTCCTGACGCACTCTTAGCATTATGACATGTAGGTTGATATCGGGGTCGACCAATTTTAATCCAAGTTTCTCTAGAAATTAATGTTATATCAGACCCAGTATCGACTTGTAGTTTGACCGGTTTGCCATCGAAAAAGATGGTTACATACTTCCTTTTAGAGAAGAAATGCTCACTTTTTGTAGCCAGAACAACATTTGAGTTATGCGGTATTGATTTTGAAGTCTGCATCTTATTTCGTTTACGAAACTTATGCTCACGGTCAGAAACCTTCGGCCTACTTTTACAACATACTTGAGCATGACCATATTTACCACATTGAAAGCATACTCGTTTTTTAAAATAGCAAACATTGGCAGAATGACACTTACCACATCGCCAACATGACGTTTTGTGTTTCGCTTGATTTGGGATTTTCTGGGAGTTCGAATCTTTATTTCCATTTAAAGATTTACGTAAAGCATTAACTCCAACGTGTTCACTGTTCCTTTCTACGAGATTCGTGTCATGCTTCAAATTAACCATTCTCTGACACTCTTCGGATACTGATTGTAGACTGATATTAGGATCTTGTTCGATTCTCGTTAGAATCCGTGCTCTAATATCTGCATCTACTGAAGATTGTAATCCACATACAAAAATAAGGCACTTGAACTGATCTGAGGACATTTCCTGTAATCCGAACCGCTCACATTCCCGGTTCACGATACTTGCATACGTTACGTAATCGTCCTGTACTTTCTTTACAAGTTGAAGACACTGGTATCTAGTGTGAAAAATTGATGACCGTTCACCAAATATACGAGTCAGGCATTCAACTGTTTCTTTGAACGTTATGTCGGATGGCTTCTTTGGGAGGATAAAATTACAGAATTTTTCATGTTCGGACACTCCGAGCTTTCGTAATAATAATCTCAATTTCGAACTTTCGTCCCACTCTTTACATTCATTAATAAATAAATCCTCATGGCGTTTAAACCATGCCTCAAAAGTAACTCCACTTTCTGGATCAAATCTAAATTCAGTTATTGAATTTGCAATAGAATCCGGAGTCATAGTGGAATTAGACACATCAGTTCTTGAGGATATCGACATATTTTTGACTAATAATTCGATAAGAGTATTTTGCTGTTGCAATAAGGTTTTCAGATCATCCATTTTCTTGATACAAAGTTCACTTTAACTGAATACGTAAGCGTAGATCCGTTTTAATCACCGTCGCCAATGTTATAAACGTATGTATGCCGTCGCCAATTGTTATAAACGTAGAGAGAGAGAGAGAGGATGCTGGTTATAACTTTAGGGGTTTCTGGTTATAACAGTCCTTTTACTTCTTACACGTATGTGGGACGTTAATTTATCTTAGACGAATATCTACACTAGATTCCCACCCAGTGTCTATTCTACAGGACTTCAACAGAACTCAGATCAAGAACACAATATTAGCCTGACTATAACGTCAATATATTTCACACCAAAATCCGACACATGGAACAGTCAATAAGTGTCCATCAACAAGGAACAGTCAATCAGTCAATACATAATAAGGATAGGGAAATATATATATAACACATAACACCTGTCATCCCCTCTAATGTCTGACTCATCGAGACAACCAATCATTGACATTCTCGCCCACACATCAGAAAGCATGAGTTAATTTAAGCTAGACCACCATCGAAAACCTGAAAGCACTGGACGGCCGTTTCGTCCTACTGTGGGACTCCTCAGCAGTGCGCATCCACGACCTCGAGTCGCGAAATACGAACCCAGGACCTGCCGGTCTCGCACCAGTGCTACCAGATTTTCCTTGGTGGTCTAGCTTCAATTGACTCACGCTTTCAACTATGAAAATACTAAATTTCCACAAAATCCCTTCTGAAAACAATACAATGGTGATTAAATAATTGGTTACTTAATTAATTCGTATTGGTTGTTTGAATTTTCTCGTTGATGTTCAGGACTGCAACTGATCAATCTCTTTTGGCACGATCAATACAAATGAACTAAAATCCAAGTCCTTGGACAAGCCAGTGGTTATCTATATCCAGAAGTTAAGTGAATAACTCGATAGCATTTGAAGGGTATGGAAATGGGTTTGAATCCCAGAGAGACTATCGACTCTGAGATGCAGGTACATCAAAATGAAGATTTCCAAACAGAACGAAACACACAACCTGCATTTCAGTAATAGCAGATATCCAACTCTGTTTATAACGACTCATTGAGCTTTTCGATTGTTATTTAGATAGTGATAGGAATAAAAGTATGAACGAGAATATAATTGTCAGTCACCATTCCTCTTCAACTTTGCCATCGATGACATCCTGGAAACAGCTCTGATGGATGTAAGTAATGGTGGTGTGGATCTGCTGCCTGGAGAACGACTTCTCGACCTTGAGTATGCGGATGATATTGTCTTACTGTGCGATAATGCCCAAGGCATGCGGTCCGCACTTAATCAGTTGGCAATCAGTGTCCGTAGGTATGGCATGTGCTTTGCACCCTCCAAGTGCAAGGTACTCCTACAAGACTGGCAGGATTCTCATCCTGTACTCACCCTAGATGGTGAGCAGATTGAAGTAGTTGAAAAGTTCGTGTATCTAGGTAGCTACATAAGTGCTGGTGGGGGCGTGAGTGATGAGATTGATGCACGTATAATGAAAGCCAGATCGGCTTATGCCAATCTGGGCCATCTTTGGCGCCTTCGTGATGTTAGTCTGACTGTACAAGGTCGGATCTACAACGCGTCGGTGAGAGCAGTTTTGCTCTATGCTTGTGAAACCTGGCCTCTCCGAGTTGAGGATGTTAGACGTCTCTCTGTGTTCGATCACCGTTGTCTCCGAAGGATTGCTGACATTCGATGGCAACACCATGTTAGTAATGCAGAGGTTCGGTATCGTGTGTTCGGGCACAGAGACGATAATTCAATCGGTGTCACCATCTTGAAACACCGACTTCGGTGGCTTGGACATGTTTTACGAATGTCGTCCCAGAGGCTTCCACGTCGTGCTTTATTTGCCGACCCTGGGACTGGTTGGAAAAAGCGGAGAGGAGGTCAGTGTATGACATGGTGTCGTGGCATGAAAGAGAGCTGCAGAGGGCTAGCTTCTGTTGGTTCTTCACGACTCCCTGGCTGGGGTCCGAGAGATGGTGCAACATAGTGACTAGAGACGTTATCAGATATGGCTCAGAATAGAAGCCAGTGGCGTGCCTGCTGTAACCTTCTTTTACTTTCTTCATAAAGAGTGGCTATAACTTTCCTAACTGAGAGAGCTCTTCTGGTTGTACATTTCAGTTCCCCCCATCATTACTCTTCTCCTTTTCTTTTATTCCTTCTTTTATAAATACAC